TGGAGGCTACCATGCTCGTGGAGGCTGACAGGCGCGTGGAGGCTACCATGCTCGTGGAGGCTGACAGTCCGCGTGGAGGCTGACAGTCCGCGTGGAGGCTGACAGGCGCGTAGAGGCTACCAGGCGAGTGGAGGCTGACAGGCGTGTGGAGGCTACCTGTCCGCGTGGAGGCTACCTGTCCGCGTGGAGGCTACCTGTCCGCGTGGAGGCTGACAGGTGCGAGTGGAGGCTGACAAGTGCGAGTGGAGGCTGACAGGTGCGCGTGGAGGCTACCAGTCCGAGTAGAGGCTGACAGGTGCGCGTGGAGGCTGACAGTCCGCGTGGAGGCTGACAGGCGTGTAGAGGCTACCAGGCGAGTGGAGGCTACCTGTCCGCGTGGAGGCTACCTGTCCGCGTGGAGGCTACCTGTCCGCGTGGAGGCTACTTGTCTGCGTGGAGGCTACCTGTCCGCGTGGAGGCTACCTGTCCGCGTGGAGGCTGACAGGTGCGCGTGGAGGCTGACAGGTGCGCGTGGAGGCTACCATCCTCGTGGAGGCTGACAGGCTCGTGGAGGCTGACAGGCGTGCTTGGAGGCTACCATGCTCGTGGAGGCTGACAGTCCGAGTGGAGGCTGACAGGCGCGTGTGGAGGCTGACAGTCTGAGTGGAGGCTACCATGCTCGTGGAGGCTGACAGTCCGCGTGGAGGCTGACAGGCGTGCATGGAGGCTACCATCCTCGTGGAGGCTGACAGGCTCGTGGAGGCTGACAGTCCGCGTGGAGGCTGACAGTCCGCGTGGAGGCTGACAGGCGTGCTTGGAGGCTACCATGCTCGTGGAGGCTGACAGTCCGAGTGGAGGCTGACAGGCGCGTGTGGAGGCTGACAGTCTGAGTGGAGGCTACCATGCTCGTGGAGGCTGACAGGCGCGTGGAGGCTACCATGCTCGTGGAGGCTGACAGTCCGCGTGGAGGCTGACAGTCCGCGTGGAGGCTGACAGGCGTGCTTGGAGGCTACCATGCTCGTGGAGGCTGACAGTCCGAGTGGAGGCTGACAGGCGCGTGTGGAGGCTGACAGTCTGAGTGGAGGCTACCATGCTCGTGGAGGCTGACAGGCGCGTGGAGGCTACCATGCTCGTGGAGGCTGACAGTCCGCGTGGAGGCTGACAGTCCGCGTGGAGGCTGACAGTCCGCGTGGAGGCTGACAGGCGCGTAGAGGCTACCAGGCGAGTAGAGGCTACCAGGCGAGTGGAGGCTGACAGGCGTGTGGAGGCTACCTGTCCGCGTGGAGGCTACCAGTCCGAGTAGAGGCTGACAGGTGCGCGTGGAGGCTGACAGTCCGCGTGGAGGCTGACAGGCGCGTAGAGGCTACCAGGCGAGTGGAGGCTGACAGGCGTGTGGAGGCTACCTGTCTGCGTGGAGGCTACCTGTCCGCGTGGAGGCTACCTGTCTGCGTGGAGGCTACCTGTCCGCGTGGAGGCTACCTGTCCGCGTGGAGGCTGACAGGTGCGCGTGGAGGCTGACAGGTGCGCGTGGAGGCTACCATCCTCGTGGAGGCTGACAGGCTCGTGGAGGCTGACAGTCCGCGTGGAGGCTGACAGTCCGCGTGGAGGCTGACAGGCGTGCTTGGAGGCTACCATGCTCGTGGAGGCTGACAGTCCGAGTGGAGGCTGACAGGCGCGTGTGGAGGCTGACAGTCTGAGTGGAGGCTACCATGCTCGTGGAGGCTGACAGGCGCGTGGAGGCTACCATGCTCGTGGAGGCTGACAGTCCGCGTGGAGGCTGACAGTCCGCGTGGAGGCTGACAGGCGCGTAGAGGCTACCAGGCGAGTGGAGGCTGACAGGCGTGTGGAGGCTACCTGTCCGCGTGGAGGCTACCTGTCCGCGTGGAGGCTGACAGGTGCGCGTGGAGGCTGACAGGTGCGCGTGGAGGCTACCAGTCCGAGTAGAGGCTGACAGGTGCGCGTGGAGGCTGACAGTCCGCGTGGAGGCTGACAGGCGCGTAGAGGCTACCAGGCGAGTGGAGGCTGACAGGCGTGTGGAGGCTACCTTTCTGCGTGGAGGCTACCTGTCCGCGTGGAGGCTACCTGTCTGCGTGGAGGCTACCTGTCCGCGTGGAGGCTGACAGGTGCGCGTGGAGGCTGACAGGTGCGCGTGGAGGCTGACAGGTGCGCGTGGAGGCTACCAGTCCGTGTGGAGGCTGACGGTGAAAGGCACCCTCTGATCCGTAGCAGTCAGACGCTTTGACTGCAGACTGCTTCGTTCTCTTCATGAAATGATTGGATTTATAAATGGTAGCTGCTGCATTCAACCCCATAGTATTAACAACAGAAACATTGACCTGATTGCAGAGAAGGAAACTCTGTTTCCGCTTAAAGCTCTGTTGGTTTTCTCTATCTTTTAGTGCAAAGATCCAATTTGAATTGCAGACCAGTAACCTACTTAAATCAAGTAAAAAAAAATTCTTTTAAGAAAATTTAACAAACCTTTCGTGTCGATCTTTGACTTTTTCAAACCAGAGATGTTCCTTGGAAAGGTTGTGGCTCCTTCCTGTTGCTTCAAACCTCACCCTTCCTTTCATTTCAGCCACATTTTGGCTTTAATTAACTTTAGCAGCAATTGTTATATGGAAATCCGTTCGTTAATTTGTACTGCATTAGCATTTTGATTACCCTGTACCTCCGCCTCTCTGCACCTTCAGTCATTTTAGCCTCAAGAAATGACTTAAATTAATGATGTTTGTTTAAGATCAGCTCCTGAAGGAGCAGCGATCTGCTTCAGCCAGGAATTATTATTCCCTCCTCTAGATTTTAGTGTTTCTCTCCTCATCCCCTCCTCAGAATTAGTTTTCTAGGAACATTCTGGAAAAGTCAGGAACTCTGTTAAAATCTGGAGCTTTTAAATGTCATCCATTATTTTATTTATTCATCATTACTAAATGAACTCACTGCGTTCATTGGTTAGTGGTTTATTTTGGCTGCTGTTCCAGTTTAGATCCTCCTCTTTTGGATAAAAATGCTTATTAGTTTGTCAAAATTTAGTAATTTTATAATTTAGTCATTCGATATGAGAACATTTTTTTAACCTAGTTTTAGTAAACTCTCTGTATGTTTGGTACAACTGTTAATGTCAACAAGTAAATAGAAAACATTCATTGTAGGCTTCATATCTAAAGATGCAATTATACACACGTCAACATGTTTACTGTGTAGATGATGCGTTTAAAAACATCAATTTGACTAAATACATCCATGTTTAGTCAATAAAGTGGTGATAAAACAATCAAACCAGCAAACCAAAACAACAGCTATAGATAAAGCTGATTTACACACAAATTATTATCTAATGATTATTTCTTTCTCCTCATCTTCCTCAGTTCGTTGAGTTTCCCTCTCTGACTCAATGAGGAGCCTAAATACATCCAAACTAGGGCTGCAACTAATTATTATTTAGCAAATCCATTAATCTGTTGATTATTTTATAAATAATAATCATATCACCAAAGGTTCCTTAAAGAAAGCTTTTTATTAAATAAAAGCAGGTATGTAATTGACAATTATTTCAATAATCGATCAATAGTCGACTAATCAGATACATTTATTTTAGCTCTAATCCAAACGTATTAAATTCACCAAAGTGTGGAACTCAGAGTTCACATAAAGAACAATTAAATGGTTCTGAAAACGTCCACTAGAGGTCACTGATGGAAGCTAGCAGAGCCTGGTATGAGCGGGCGGCTCGTCATCATGTGGACAACATCACTTCCTGCTCTGCTCCTGCATCACATGATCAGTTACTATCAGAGGTGTCAGTAACAAAGAACAAATACTTTGTTACTTAAAGGAGAAGTTCGGTTTTTTACACTTTAAGCCCATTTTCTGTAGTGTCCAGGATGAAATCGAATGATCGACACCAAAAGTTTGACAATTGCTCCTGTCTCTGCTTTTTGGCTCATTTAGAATCCACCCCCTGGCTGCTTTAGAATGGCTAGCATAGAGCATGTCCGATAATGTCCTTAAAACAACCTTAAACGTTCTTTTTTTAAAATATGCTACTCACCGTGTCGTCAGCGCTGTTCAATGACGTTCCAAAAAAAGTTTCGTAAAGAAAAAACGTTCCTGTAGTGTTTTATTTAGCATTTTGTAAATCCCATTGAGTTCTGGTGGAATAGTCAATATCCCTCCGCCACCGGAAACGGAAATGGGGCCTGTTTACACAGTTGTAGTCTTTTCGCTTCACTCTGTGTACTCCGACGTCGAGGTGCTAACGTCTCTGTTAAACACTTTAAAAAACTCTGAAAATGGAATACGAAAGGTGGATTCTTGATTCTCGACGTCGGAGTACACAGAGTGAAGCGAAAAGACTACAACTGTGTAAACAGGCCCCATTTCCGTTTCCGGTGGCAGCGGAATATTGACTATTCCAACAGAACTCAATGGGATTTACAAAATGCTAAATAAAACACTACAGGAACGTTTTTTCTTCACGAAACTTTTTTTGGAACGTCATTGAACAGCGCTGACGACACGGTGAGTAGCATATTTTAAAAAAAGAACGTTTAAGGTTGTTTTAAGGACATTATCGGACATGCTCTATGCTAGCCATTCTAAAGCAGCCAGGGGTGCATTCTAAATGAGCCAAAAAGCAGAGACAGGAGCAATTGTCAAACTTTTGGTGTCGATCATTCGATTTCATCCTGGACACTACAGAAAATGGGCTTAAAGTGTAAAAAACCGAACTTCTCCTTTAAGTAGAAGTATTTTCTATCTAGTTTTGTTTCATTTAAGCTCATTTTCATTCTGGCCTGTTGGTATTTAAAAAAAATAAATGCCATCAAAATAATTAGTTTCATCCAGACAATAAATTTCTTTGTGGTTGGACTTAGTCATAAAACTAATGGTAACATCAGACCTATAATTTACCCCCCCCCCCCTCTGATCAGATCCATGGGGCCTTTTAGGGCTCATAATTGTCACCGATGATTGAGGCCTGGCTTCCTCTGACGTCTCGTTTCCTCTGTGGTCAGGCCATGCTGGATGTAGCTGCCAACGAGGGCTGGCTCATCACTGCCCTCAGTATCTGCAACCTGGTGCAGATGATCGTCCAGGGCCGCTGGCTGCACGACTCGTCGTTACTGACCCTTCCTCACGTGGAGCAGCACCACCTCTATCTGTTCAGGTAAAGCAGCTTCACCAGCGGCTCCTTGCTCTCCTGCTCCTGACATCAGAAAAACATCTTGTTTTGCTTTGATCTTGGTTATCTGAGGTGCTCCGTTATTGCCGTCACCTAGCGGGTCTAACTTCCTTTAAGCGAGGCAGCAGATGGTTTCCTCTGGTAGATGGAGGCTAATGTTTCCCAGAAGGAGGCCGGTGTGTCTTTGGAACCTCATTAGAATAAATTAAAAAAACGGACCGGACTGAAACGACTAAATGAAGGAAAGGAAGTTTGGTTTCTACCGTCTGTTTTCCTGCTTTAGTTCAGCTGTTGGTGAGACTTAATGTTTAGACGTGTGGAAACGTGCAGCCAGAGAGGAAAACACACATTCTAGAAACTCCAGAAAGTTCTAATGCAGTCTTATGAAACCTTGGATCCTAAAAAGGCCTGACTGGATTTAGTTTGACTGGATTTAGGAACATCTGTGCTGGGAAGAAAACTTATAGCGTCACACATTTAAAAGAAGCTCCGCCTCCTAACAGCAGCAGAGGCTTCTGGTTGATTTATGCTTCCATGAGGTCTGCACGGCGCACCATCACAACATTACATCATTTTAGCGTCCACAGGCCGCTCTTCCACACAGCGCAACCCAGGGACGCCTAAAGCAGTGCAGGGAAAAAACACTTTCATCTAGCAGATAAATTCCCTTTATCAGTAACCTAAAGGGTTTTTCTTTTTCATCACGCTGTTGAAGCTTCAGGCTGGAAGGATCTCCTGTAGAGGTTTGTCTTACACCAGATCTGGAGAAGCCTCTGACTGAAGACACTCTGTTGGTGTTTAACAGTGTGATGAAGAGGATGCTCGCAGTCTCTAAACTTCTTCACTTGATGAAGATTTAATAATCTCAAGAGGAGTTCCAAGAAGAGAAAACATTAACAAAACAAAAAGAAAGAAGGTGGATGAAGCGCCGCTCCTACTGGGGAGAGCTCACAGGATTAAACATGATGGAGCCTTAATTATCACCTGTCCCTGTCCATCTTGGATGAAACCAAGAGGAAACAGCTGTTTACTACTTCTGCATGTAGAGCGGCCAGTCAGTGTCCTGAACTGACCCCTGCAGGATAACAGAGTACCAAAAGCTATAAACAAAGTTGTTTCCTTCTTACTATAGAATATTGAACATGACCCAAGCTTTGGTCTGGGACAGCGGCTACCCTGGTTCCTAAAGCTGGGCCTTAGATATAGAGGCTGTGTTTAGACCAGGGGTCGGCAACCCAAACTTCAAAGAGCCATAAGGGACCAAAAAACAAATAACCTTATATAGTCTTCTCTAAGCCGCGTATGGCAGCACGGACTCTAAGTGTATTAGCCCACTATGGAAAAGGACTATGTGGGCTTAGATATATAAAATAATCATTCATGATTAAAGCTGCAGGCTTTAATGCTAATCTTCCTTGACAGAAATGGCTACATTTATTATCTAAATGTATTTATTATACACATTTTTATTGGAAACATAATTAATTGATCAATTGAACAGCACAGTTACCAAGCAACCAAGGTTCTCCCACATCAAGGCTTTCTGGGTACAAGTCAATCGGCTATGCTCGGGAATTCGCTCATTTTCACCTGATCAGATCGGCATGTGGCCACTCGCCAGAAAGACGACCAATTTCAAGCGCCATTTTTTCCCGTTTTTTTTTCCGAGTGGACGCGTATCTTTCTACAGCGCTTGGTCCATGCTTGTGAGAGAGCACCAGAACCAGGATGAGCTGGGACCAGCGGTGCCCCCCTCTGGAGCTAAGGAACCACAGCAGTAGAAGTGGCAGCTTTCAGTGCTAGCTTCGGAGGAGAGCAGCGGAGCCTGCTGAACTGAGCACTGAATGTGGAGGAGATGCTACATTGGCTTTAGCTAGCTACGGGATGTAACTGCGAAGAATCTAAGCAGGAGGGCTGAAGATTTGCCGGAGAAACAGGGCACTGAAGGCAGAAGATAGGGACAGCAGCAGGCTGAGGAGGGGCGCTGTAGATCAGGGAGACAGAGCAGATTGGGCAGGAGCTAACTGAGAGTAGCCTTTACAGGCTAACTGCTGGAGGTGGGCGGAGAGCGGAGGATCAAAAAGCCACCAGGCAGGAGGTAGGACGACGAAACAGTCCTTCTAGGACTCAAGACAGGCTTTTCTGAAAAGCATTCCTTATTTCATCCTTCTTCATCATTAATTTCTCCATCTTCCAATTTTATGCTTTAATAAATATAATATAATCCAATGTCACTGTTCAGTATTAAAGGACTGATGGATTGGATGCTATTGTTGATCAGCAGATCCTGGTCTTTGTAGATCAGACCAGCATGAACGTTTTATTGGAGATGGACGCCTCCTGACGCTAACGCAGGGATATTTATGCTACCATCTTACTGCTGGAGCTACCCCCCCCCCCCTTCTTATGACATCATCCTATGGCAACTCCACTCGGACAAACTGTATTGCACCCGTTTCTTAAGGATCAAATCTCTTTTGGAGTCTCAACATATTATTACCTATATTTGCTATTATTTCACATTTCATTGGCGATCTAAAGTAGCAGAAAGTAGAAAACAGTCAGACTTGAAGGAAAGTCCTGCTTTCTAAGACCAACTGAGCTCTGCCATTTAACAAGGTGACACAAAAAGACTCATAGCTTTTTGTTATTCTATTTACAAAGATCTGAGGGCAGAGGAGGACAAATGGAACATCTTGTGACTTTTGTAGAGATTTTAGACAAATAAAACAGTTATTCTACACGTAGAAAATGAACGGTTGTTGTTGATACAAAGTTAAAAGTAGTGTAGCTTAATGTGGCTAACTGACCGAGCTAAAAGAGGCTAACCTGTTAGCTACTGAGCACAGCTAGCTACTGCGCTACCCAGCTCTTTATATAAGGGTCTAACAGTTACTTTGTTCCCCAGAAACAGATTTTTTCAGTTTTGTTATCAATCAGGTAACACTTCATCAGTCAGTGATGAACCACTTTACTGTTGCCTGGGCAACCACAATGTTTTGGCAACGTTCAGCCAATCGTAGCGTAATGTCACTGACATGAAGCAGGACCCGAGCAGATCTGGTAGCTACACTGAATCTAACTGTGGGTTTCACTGTATCGTAGAACAATGGTGGAGCTCAGCCAATCACATTATAGAAACACCAGTTTGATATTTGGGTAAAAGTCAGCAGACCTTCTCAGTGGAGATAAAGGAAGCTCCACCCACCCGTCCACCCCTGTTGTTCCTCCCATAGTGTGGGATGCAGGTGAGCTGCAGCTTCCTGGTTCTAGTCTGTTCCTTCCTCTCCATGCTCACATTTTATCCCAGGATCGGTTCTCCTGAGTATTTATTTAATGTTTTCAGTTGTATTTGTTGTTGAAAAAACTCCATCCTGACTAGTTTGGGATGTTTTTCCCACCTAAATGTCCAGCTTGACTGTTCTCTCTGATATTCCTGTTTTCTGACGCTCCCCAGGAAGTGGGCCGTTAAAAGAGGAAGGAGTGATGCTGAGGGCTTCAGCGGGGCGGTGGAAGGACTCCCTGAGCTCATTGCCGCTTGCAGCGGTAAAGAAAGCGTTTTCTCCGCCATCGTCAGCCAGGAGTTTACTCCAAGTCAAACGCAGCAGGTAAAGACACGTTGAGTGAAAATGGCTGTGGTCTTTTCTGGGGTCCCCGGTGCCTCCCTCATTCCTCTGATGTGAGCTGTGATGGCGGAGGCAGGGCATGGCGACAGGTCCTGTGACCTTTCCTTCCCTTCCAGGTCCTTCCTCCCCCCGTCTCCACCCCCACAGAGCCGCGGCCTCTGTAACTAAGTAATTAGATGTGCCGCAGCGTTCCTGTCTGAGCGGCTCTAGGAGAGTAATCCTCAGATAAATAGCTTCTCTTTGGCCAATTTGACGGCTGTTTGACCCCAATAAGCACAGTCATCCTTTCCACGCTTCTTTTCTGTTGCCTCTTTATGCATCTTAAGCTCTTCACCTGACATGGCTCCTAGGTTGGACCAGATGTTTGCTTCCTATTTTCCTGGTTTTTTAACATTATTGGTTCTCCTCAGAGGTCACCCACATCTGACCCTTTGGTTTCTGAGCTTAAAAGGACTTCCTGATCATCCTCTGACATGGGAGCTGGCTCGGAGCTCGTCTGCCTGGCTGTGTGTTTCCTGGACGGGGCCGCCTGTGGAGCTGGTTGACAGTTGCCTTTTGTATCTATGCTTCTTTTTCTATGTCTGCTTCTGTCTCCTTGAACCCCAGTGGGCCTCAGCAGATGGCCGCTCACACTGAGCCTGGTTCTGCTGGAGGTTTCTTCCTGTTCAAAGGGAGTTTTTCCTCTCCACTGTCGCTACAAGCATGCTTAGTGTGAGGGATTGCTGAAGAGTCAATGAGTCGATGCAATCAGCTGGTTTTCCTCAGATAGAAAACTTTGAATGAATTCTTTTGTTGTAAATTTCCAGACAAATATTTCTAAAACCTTCGTGTCCCAAAAGTTAAACCTTTACCAGAATCTCACCAAGCTGTTCAAATGTCAAAACCATTTTTATTTTCACTGGCGTTTTCCCATCATGCCTTGCTCTTCCCCGGCCAGGCGTGGTCCTTCCTGAGTCACCTCCCGGTTCTGGAGGTCCAGATGAGCGTGAAGGGCTGGTGGGAGCAGAGCCAGGAGCAGACGGAGCGACCCCTGCCTGCAGGGGGCGCTAACCTGAGAGAGGAGAGCAGCTGGTTGGACGTCCACGCGGATCAGGAGTACGTCCTGCAGGTGGCGCTGCGGCGCATTAATCTGGGTCAGCAGAGGGTGAGTGAAGAAAGCAGAAGCCTTTTTATCAGAAAGGGACCAAAATGTAAAAATGTTTTTTAATTTATATCCGTCAGAGAAAGTTTAAGATCTACAAACATTTTGACAGAATTAAACTCTATCCTCCTTTTTCCTCTAAGCTAAAACTGGAGTCGTGATTAAGATGGTTTGTTTTGCAGAGGAAGCAGGACAGTAAGGCCCAGGCTCCCAGGTTCCCCAAGGCCAAGGATGAGGGCTGGTTCCTGATCATGGGGGAAGTGGACCGGAAGGAGCTGCTGGCCGTCAAACGGGTCGGATACGTCCGGAATCACACGGCCGTGTCTGTGGCCTTCTACACTCCAGAGAAGACTGGAAAGTAAGACGTAGCTTCAGAGTAGAAACACGGACGGAGATCATCGCTAGAAGAACTGCTGCTCTGAATTTAACGAGACGTTTGAGATCAGCGTGGAAAAAAGATAATCCTTACAGAGGATTATTTTCTCCTATGAAAGGAAAATGACGTCTGTGATGCAAAAACAATCTAGAAATTAATAAAAATGTCTTGAATTAAGTTTTTTTACCCTTAATTTGAGTGGGTAAATAAGATGATTTGCAATGGAATGAGGATTTTTACTTTTAAAATAAGGTAATTAAATATTTTTTTCTTATTTTAAATGTAGATAATCTTGTTCCATTGGCAAAGTGTCTCACTTACCTGCTAAATTCAAGAAAAAATGCACTTATATTAAGAAAAATAGACTCATCTAGATTTCAATTTTTTTTTTCCAGTGTAAGGAAACAGTTTATCGTTTTTTTAATCTATTGCTGAATCAGTGCATAAAGCTGGTTGGAAATAAAAAAAGCAGGATTTTCTAAAGTCTCCAGGTTATTAGAGCTCATAAAATGAGACACCAGAGCAAAACCGTTAGCACCTTGTTTCCATCGGGCCTCGTTAGCGACCTTTCAGAGCAGCGTGAGCGTTAGCATAAAGTTAGGGCCTGACTCTAGAAAGTCATCTGATCTCCTGTGAACCTTCTGCCTGTAGGTGCATCTACACGCTGTATGTGATGAGCGACAGCTACCTGGGTCTGGACCAGCAGTATGACATCCACCTGAACGTCAGGCCTGCCAGCATCTCCGCCCAGGTCAACACAGAGGTGGTGGACTCAGTGAGCGGGTTGTCCCTCAGCTAAAGACCAGCAGCAGAGTGGTCTTCATCCAGCTCCTCCCTTCAGAAGGAGCTGTAGCTCCTGTTAGCATCGGCCCCATGTCAGAACTTGATCTGCTGAAACTGAAGGCATGAAGCTGGAGAGGAACTCAATCCTTCCCTGTTTGGTTTACTGGATAGAAAAATAAAACAGAAATCTGGTTCTTTAACTAATGAGTAAAATGTTTTTATTTCATAAGTTTTTGATTCTGGTGGCAGAAATCCTTCATTTAGGAGTTTTTCTTCCTGAAGGCTGGGAAGTGATTCACGCTGCAGAGATGTCCTCTCACTCTGACAGCTGGACTGGATCTGAACCTGAAGCATCTCTTTCTGAGGGTTCTCCTCATCACCAACCTTCCTGGAGGATCTTCAGTTTCCACCTGAGTGACACAGCCGAGCAGAAACGGCTTTAAAATGCATCAGTTTGTGTCGAGTTTCAAAGTTAAGACCAAAATAAAATGTTTCTTTCAGGTGACATCATGACTCTGAGTTTTACTGCTGAAGCCCTGTTCTCCTCTGGAGGGGGGGGGGGTCTCTGCTGCAGCTGTGGTAGATTCTCAGCCTTTAGGTGGAGCCCCGCATCTCTCTTAACAGCTGCAAGCAAAACCTTTGATTAAAATAAACCCAAAACCAAACTTCCCTGACATGATGACATCATTGGAGGTTTCCTCCGGTCCTCGGTCTGCATGCTGTCAGTGTTTCCTCTGTCACCATGGCTCCATCCTGACAAGAACTGGAGATTATGGAATAATTTGACGAAAAAAAAGAAATCAGGAATAAAAATGTTGCAGTTGTGGAGAAAAAAACCCGAATATCAAATTTATCCCAAAAAGGCTGAATTCAAATAAATCAAAGTAAACAAAAGGTGAACAATGTTCATCGCTCACTGGGACCCTCCTCTCATGCTCTGTAGGGTAAATATAAACAACCTGCTGATGGACAGACTGAACATTTCAGATTCAAACAAAAGTAGAAAAATTAACTGAAAACACCACGCTGCATAGTAAAGGCTAAAGTAGAGGTATATATATATATATAAGGAAGTATATTGTATGGTTATTAAAAACAAGCTACTCAGGTGTGCTTTGGTGGCGCAGTGGTTAGCGTCCACAACCCATGTACAGAGGCTTTAATCCTTGACCTGGATCTTTTTATATATATATATATATTTATATATATATATCTTTTTATTAATTATACAGCTGAAAAACCACAAGCATGAAAGCCCAAGACAGGTCGAGACAGAACTCAAAATTGTGGACAGCACACAAACCAAGACAGGACATGGATACTTAAGACTGTACAGATTGAAAATAGCTGTCAGCCGGGCCGCTGGGCCGGGGGGGCACAGGCACACATTCAGTCCTGAGGGAGGGCATCCAGTCTCTCAAAATAAGATAATAGAGGGGCCGAAGTTCTATAAAAGTTTTGGACAGAACATCTAACACAAAATTTGATCTTCTCTAATTTAAGGAACAGGGAAAGATTTTTCAACCAGAGAGAAGTCCGAAATTCTTTTCAAACAAATCAGAAAAAGAACACGTCACATGATTCCCAAATATTTGAATCCTGTTCTAGAGAGAGGGAGTGTAAATCAGTTTCTGTAATTTGATGTCATTGGAAAACATTCACTTTTTAGAAAGTTCAACTTGTATCCTTAAAATGTACCAAAACAGTTTAGCAATCTCACATTATTGGAGATGGACCATACTGGGTCCGAGATGTAGAGTAGTCAGTCGTCCACGTATAAAGACAGCCGATGCTCCACCTGTTTCCTATAAATTCCCTTAAAGCTCTGTGAAGTTTTAAGCATAATAGATAGTGGCTCAATAGCTAACTGGACCATTTTATGAATAAATGGATGAAATATTAACGAATATTTGTGCATATAAAAATGACAGCAGACTAAAAGAAATTGATAAACAGGAAAGTAAACAACTTGGTGTCGAAAAAGTTCAGGCTCAGGATTTTTTTTTTGTGCATTAATTCCTTAATATGATTAACGATCCATGTTGTTAGAGTTAGCGCTGTTAGCCGCAGCTCAGAACACAAGGCTGCTCTCTAGCCTCTCCGATGCTGGGTTAGCATCACACTACTAGTAGCTGGGTCTGTATGCTTGCAGATTTTAACTGACTGACGGAGCAAATGGATCAAGCCCTGATTCGTATAGATCCCAGTAGATCAGCAAAAATTTATTTCAGTTTATCTCTATTGCACCAGTTCACAACACAACTTCTCAAGTCTGTTTACAAGAGAATTCAATCAGATCATACAGTCGGAAAACTCCCTTTGAACAGGAAGAAACCTCCAGCAGAACCAGGCTCAGTGTGAGCGGCCATCTGCTGAGGCCCACTGGGGTTCAAGGAGACAGAAGCAGACATAGAAAAAGAAGCATAGATACAAAAGGCAATTGTCAACCAGCTCCACAGGCGGCCCCGTCCAGGAAACACACAGCCAGGCAGACGAGCTCCGAGCCAGCTCCCATGTCAGAGGATGAAGAGAGCACATCCAGTTAGTCACAGTCAGAGAAACAGGACTACACTGGAAAACAGGCCAAGCTCCAACATCTAGAAACAAAGGTGTTGATGGCAGCAGCACAGCTGATATTTCTCTCCAGGATGGAGTCACAGCCAAACAGGAACAGACCAGATGAAGCTACTATGAGAAAAAGCAGAGAGAGCAGAACGTTAGAGATTGAACTAACAGATTCTGCAGAGTGGGAGAATAGAGATAGAATGAAGCAGAATGATGAAAAAGGGGTCCCTATGTCCTCCAGCAGTCTAAGCCTATAGCAGCAGAACTATAGAGATAGCTCAGGATAACCTGAGCCAAATGAATGGATTATATTTAGTTTATTTCTTTGGTGGCACAGGTGTGTCCCTTGTTATTTTTAGAAGATAGGAGTGTAGCCAACAGGCAGCTGGGTGAGGAGGTTTTGTCAAATTTTTCTGTTGACCATCGTCGTCATTTCTAAACTACTGAGAAATAAATAAGAAAGAAAAGGCAAGTGGGGCTCATGACGGCTTCTAGGAGACGCGTCACAGTGCAAAAAACTTCTCAGCCAGCAGCAGCTTTGTTGGTGGATCTAAGTCGCTACAGTCGGGCTCTGACAGTAATGTTTTGTTTTTAGCTTTTATTGTCATTCCACTGTCACAAGTACAGAGCAAAGAAATTCCTTCTGCATTTAACCCATCCCCTTGGAGAGCAGTGGGCTGCCATTGTGCAGTGGCCGGGGAGCAGAGTGGGGTTAAGGGTCTTGCTCAGGGACCCAGGGTGTCAGTCTGTGGGAGTGGGGCTTGAACTCAAAACCTCAGGACTCTGAGCTGCATCACAGCTTGTTATTTGGATGTGATTTGATCAATAAGGAGAAAGACAAAGTAAATCTTTAAAGGTTTTCAGGAAAAACAACAACCTTAAGATCAAAGACAGTAATTAATGTCAAATTGCTAATATTAGCTGATGGTAAAATGACACTTTGATGTTCTTGTGCAACTGAAAACAGGAAACTTTTTTTAAAGAAATAGCAGAAGCGCTGCTCCCAGATTCATTGGAAAATATTTGGAACATATGAGAGTATTTTGTATTTAAGTTAAGTTTTTGTTTTATTTACAGTGTTTGAGTTCAAACATGGTTGGAAGATCTATGGTTGGTTCCAATATCTAAGTTTAAATTAAGATGCATTCTAAGGAGCTGAGTGACGTGTTTCACCAGCTGTGACCCAGATCTGTTTCTGCTTGGCCTCCCTTCAAAATCACTCTGATACAATCGCACTTCAAACTTTGTGACAAATTATTGCTTTTGGCTAAAAAAATGCATTTTAATTAATCAGATTAAGGATAAACAACCAACTATCACACAATGGTACAGAGAAATATTTAGGGTCCTTCCTCATGAAAGGATTAGTGCAGTTCTTACTGATGTGATGTTGCTTCGCTATTTCCCTAAAGAGGTGACAGCACTTCGGTCAGGGTCCTATAAGGTGGAAGATCTCACCAGATCTTAACTAATGAACATCCTCTTTTCCATTCCTATGCATCATTTTTCTTTCTTTGATCACCCGGCTAAATATGATTGAGTTGATGTCAGGCTTTAAATATGTTTAAATATGTTTGCCGGCCACTGAAGACATGATTTAAGGTGAATGACATTATCCGGCGGCTTCCTGTTTTTGTTTGATCCTGCTCCATTTCCCAGTATCATGAAGATGATAGGCAACACAGTGTGGAATTTTCATTTTTCTTCTGTTTGTGAAAACACAAAACTAATAAAATCCATCCATTATCTGACACGCTTGTCCCAATTGGGGTGGCGAGGGGTGCTGGTGTCTATCTCCAGCTGTCAGTGGGCGAGAGGCAGGGTCCACTCTGGACAGGTCGCCAGTCCATCACAGGGAAACACAGAGACAAACAACCATTCACACCTAAGGAGAGTCTAGAGAAGCTAATCAACCTAACAGTCATGTTTTTGGACTGTGGGAGGAAGCTGGAGTACCTGGAGAGAACCCAGGCGTGCTCAGGGAGAACATGCAAACTCCATGCAGGCCGGGAATCGAACCCAGAACCTTGTTGCTGCAAGGCTGCAATCGTAAAAAAAAAATTAAGATGCAATTTTTAAAAAAATCAAATGGTTGGATTCCTGAAGCACATCTTAGTTTATTTTCTGATCCAAACCGTCTCTGAGTAACAGAGCTGCGTTGATCCTCCAGCGGTGGTCAGGATTTGAAAATTAAGGAGACTTTTTATTTATTTTTATTTTTTTATTTTCATTTTAAACTGTTATTTATGGTGAATAAAAAATAAAACATTGGTATCACTGAACTCAATAGTACCAGGTTTTAAATTTCTTCAGTCAGATTAACGCTGCAGGGCGGCTGTGAGGATCTGATGCAGCATCAGGAACTATCAACGATAACATTTTAAACATTTAAAATAAAAAACACAAATGAAATGAAATCAGCTGTGAAGATGGAGAGAATAAAACCTCAGGATGAACAGGAAGGCTACTGGTTGGTCTAATATTAGCAGCTACAACATTAGATTTTTCATAGATACAAACCCAGTTTGGGGCCCCTGAGGGCCTGGCTGGGCCCCTACCGCCCTGTCCGGATCCAGTCTGCTATTAAAATAATTAGAAGACAAATAAAACAATCCTCCGGATTTAATGAATTTATGCCGTTAATAGAACCGAGCTGGAGGAATTCCTCATGTCAAGCTGAACAGAACATCTGGATCCAATCATGGGGAGCCCTGATGCGCATGCGCACATTAATCAAAGAGCGCAACGGTGCGAGACTGTGACGTCATCAGCGGTCAGTAATTGGAAAAAATAAAAACACTTTCCTTAAAGTTCAGTGTGTAGAAAATATGAGGATCATCTGAACAATTATTGTTTAATAAAAAAAAACTAAAGTATAATAATCCTTTAGATTAGAATAAACTAAAATAATTATTAAATGATGCATTAAAAGACTCTTTGTGCTTTTTCAATCACACAGATTAACAATAAATACTTCATAGCTAAAACCAAATAATGGGCTCTATGTTTATGCTTCCTATAAAAAAGATCAGATAGATTATTAAGGTCATCAATGAAAAATAATAATGCAACTATTTTTAGCATTTAATCATATTTATTTACTTTAACACCATTGTTTCATGTCGGCAGGGTAGGATATAAAACAATGGTGTTAAAGTAACTAAATATGATTAAGTAAATGCCATAAATGGTTGAAATTTTTTCCAGTGAATTTATTGATTATTAATAAAAAATAAAATAAAACAAAGTAAAATCGAATGAATAAAAAATAAAAGATTTCTACGTACGGTTTTCTTCCAAAGGAAGAAGAGGAGGGAGGTCTTCCTCACTTTGGAGCAGGAGGTGAATATTTCTCCTGACCAATCAGCTTCCGTTGCGCTCCGCTCCTTTCTCTCACCGACCAATGGGATTCCACTCCGCGCTAGCGGCCGTCCAATAGCAGCAGAGCTGTTCTCGGTGGGCGTGTCTCCCGCTGGGCAGCAGAAGAAGCGGCTGCTGGTCTCAGGGACCCAGAGGATGGGCGCTCAGGGACTCTGGTACCGGTTGGAGGTTCTGCTCGGAGCCCAGCGGGTCCAGTAGAAGCAGGTTTGGTTTGAGCCTCCATCGGCCTGCAGCTCTGGACCTGCTTCCTTCAGGCCTTCCTGCCGCTGATGGATCCCTGAACGGCTCACAGGCCCGCATTAAGTCCAGGACCCAGCGGGTCCAGAAGGAGCCCAACACCTGTGGACATGAGGAGGTGTCCGCGCGCCCGCTGCGGAGTTTAGGCCGAGCGCGCGCGCCGCTTCCCGAGCAGGACATGGGAGATCTGCACGCGCTGTGAGCGCACACCGACCCAGAACCGGACCCGGACCGGAGCGGACCCGGACCCGGACCGGAGCGGACGGCATCATGAAGGAGAAATCAAAGAACGCGGCGCGCACGCGCCGGGAGAAGGAGAACAGTGAGTTTTATGAGCTGGCCAAGCTGCTGCCGCTGCCCTCCGCCATCACCTCCCAGCTGGACAAAGCCTCCATCATCCGCCTGACCAGCAGCTACCTGAGGATGAGGAGCGTCCTCCCTGCAGGTAAACACACCTGCTGACCGCCACGCGTGGAAAGCTGCTCTTCTAAGGCCTGGATTATGGCGCTGATAAACATCTAAAATTAATTTATTTATTCATCATTCAATTATTTCCAGGCGCTTTTATTGTTAGAATGAAAATAAATTCAGTTCCTTTTCTCAGAGATAAAGATTCATTCTTTTTTCTCCTTTTAATTAAATTCTGCTTTATTCTGAGGATCAAATCAAATATTTTACCCTTTTTTAAACCTCCTAATTTTGGATTTAAATAAACAACAGTTTCCTGAACCCACGCATGGATGAGCAGCAGCAGAAATCACGCATCAGGGCCGAAGGCGGCTCCTCCTCGGGCCCCGCATGCGGGATCTGCGTGGCGGCAGAGCGAGAATCCGTCCTTCGTGACTTCTGCAGATCCACGGAACAGCAGCGACAGAAAGACTGAATAAAATAATAATCCCGCCGCGTTCAGCATTTCCTTCATTCTTTCCTTATATTTAGTTAATTTAACACCATAGTTTCATGTTAGCAGGACAGAACATTAAAACTATGATGTTAAAGAACTATATATGATGAAGGAAATAAAGGAAATGCTGAATGCGGTGGGATTATTTTATTTTATTCAGTGTAGATGAGGAAACACCACCGTGACTCCTGCTGAGGATTAAATCCACGCTGATCCACGGTGTCTGCAGGATGCATAGAAAATAGAACATAGATGCTCTCATACATGTTCTATTTATTAAAGCTGCGATCAGATAAAATAACAGAAACATGAGAGGAACATCAGCCTCACCATCGGCCTCTGGATTATTGCGGGATTATCTGCGGGTTTAGCGCCTCAGAGGATCATCATCATCAGCAGGGAGGAAGAACAGTTCTTTCTTTCTTTCTTTCTTTCTTTCTTTCTTTCTTTCTTTCTTTCTTTCTTTCTTTCTTTCTTTCTTTTCTATTTTAATGTTTTTAATCATTTCAATTAAAGCAGACGTGTCGCTTTAATTCGCCTGAAATAATCAAATTATTGTTTGTTGGATTTTGGTTCAATAATTGGATTAGAAGTTCGATTTCAATTGTTAGAATTATTATTATTATTTCTCAGCATTTAGGTTTCAAATCGGAAACTTTTCCACTAAAACCTTTATTCTATTGAATCCAGCTGGTTTCTATCGGCGGGTTAAAAATTAATCTTTTATTTATCTGCTTCATAATTATCATTATTATTCTTCTTTCTCTTCTTATAAATAATAATTCGTTAATTTTATTTTAAAAGCTTTCCTCTTTTCTTTCTTATCCTTTTAGTTTATTTCCTGTATTTTAATATCTTTATTTAAAATCAAGCGATAAAATTTTTTTTTTTTAACCCGAATAATTATTTTCTATAATTTCCCGTCGCCATTTTTTTGCCTTTTTTTATTGTTTAAAGTTTTGTTGTTTTTTCTATGGATGTTAAATAAAACCATAAAGGTAATAAATCTGGGTTTTTACAGGAATTATTATTATTATTATTATTACTGTTTATTATAATTGTTGTTATTATTGCTGTTATTGTTATTATTATTTTATTATTATTAATATTATTATTATTATTTTTATTATTATTATAATTAATAATAATCATATTAATCCTGATGACCTGTTTTATTAAAACCTTAATGTGTATTTGTTTCGTTTTGTTCTGCTCCTGTATTTTTATTCTGGTTCTTGTTCTATGGTTCTGGTTCTACGGTTCTGGTTCTATGGTTCTGGTTCTTGTTCTCTGGTTCTGTGGTTCTGGTTCTACGGTTCTGGTTCTTGTTCTCTGGTTCTATGGTTCTGGTTCTACGGTTCTGGTTCTTGTTCTCTGGTTCTGTGGTTCTGGTGGTCCAGTGGGCTCCAGTGTTTTCTCTGCAGAGCAGGTTTGCATCTCATTGCTGCTGCAGCAGAAAAGCTTCAGTCCTTTCAGGCCGAACTGCTTCTGAGATTCTTGGTTATTTAATTTATTCTGAACCATCATTGAGCAAATATCCTAAATATAAAATCATACCTTCATTTTTTTCTGATTGTTATAATTTAATCCGTGTTTTCTGCAGTTTCTCATACTGACCTGTTTTCTACAATCGTCTGATTTCTAATGGCAGCTTTAGCTTCATCTCCTTCCTGCTGAATGTTTTTATCACAGATTTCTCTCCTCTTCTCTGTATTAATGGTGAACTTCTGTCCCTGCAGGCCTCGGTGAATCCTGGGGTCATGTGAGTCGCAGCTCTGTGGATGGTGTCAGCCAGGAATTAGGCTCCCATCTCCTACAGGTAGACTAAAATAAAAAATAAAAATAAAAACTGTATTATTGTTGTTGTTGAGCAGAGCTGTGAGAGAGTGCAGCTCAGCAGCCGCCACCATCTGCCTCCTGCTGCCTTCATTCTCCTTGCTTTGAGAGTGAAATGAGTTGAACACATTCCTGGTCACGCACAGACCCCCCCACCCCCCCAGCAGCAGCACAATGGAGCGGCTCTGTAGAAAAGCAGCTTCTGCTCACACTGATCAATCCTACATTCACACCTGAGGCAGAGCTTCGCTGCTGACGGCTCAGACTCACAGTTCGCTAGACAAGCATTTCTATCCAGGGAGAATATTTTCACACATAACTAAACATTAATGTTGCATAAATCTATAAGTTAGCAGCTGCAAAACAACATAGAAACGAATCAGAATCACAGATTCAGCATTTTTATTGATTCCTGCAACAGTTTAAGGTCTATTATATTATTTGCTTCATTTTTAGAAATTCCGGCATAATTCCAAATAATCTAGTAAAAACTCAATCTGAATGGTATCTGTGTTTCTGACTGAGCCTCCAGATGGTGAATAAAATAAAATGAGAAATCAATTCATTCTGAGGCATTTTTAACGTTACGCTGATTAAAAGTTCTAATGTTCTCTGAAATAAAAGCTGGAGTAGAAGGAAGAAGACACTCAGGGTTTATCCTCAAACAAAGAACGGCGCTCTGCTTCATAGACATATAAAAAAAAAATAAAAAAAAATGAAAATTAAATTAAATTTTCCTTTTTACACTTCATATAAAATAAAATCTCGGTGTTAAAAAGCTGCATTTTTAGTATTAATTACTGTTTAATATTTACCAATAATCAACACTCTGTCCTTCTTATTATTATTACATAATTCACCACTGAAAAAAATAATATAACAAAATAATATAACCGTTTTTGGCATTTACTTAATTATATTTAGTTACTTTAATACAATTTTTACATGTTAGCAGAGTAGGAAATTAAAAACTTGTGTTAAACTAATTAAATATAATTAAATAAATGGCAAAAGCAGTTGCCTTATTTTTCTCAGCAATGTTAATGATAATATTTAGATAATTATAGATTTAATCCAGCTTCCTTTTGAGTTTAATGCCTCATTCTTCTGGCAGCTGTAAAGCTGCTCGTCCTTCTGCTGCATCAGCTGCTCCTATTCAATAAAAAAACTCTTATTTTATTTCCCAGAGGTCTTTTTATTTTATTTTCTGTCTTCCAGACTTTAGATGGATTCGTTTTTGTGGTGGCTCCTGATGGGAAGATCATGTACATATCGGAGACGGCGTCCGTTCACCTGGGCCTGTCACAGGTCAGTTCCTAGAAGCGTCACGCGTCAGCCAATCACATCCCAGCTCTGAGCTCCATCTTCCCTTCAACAGGTGGAGCTGACGGGAAACAGCATTTATGAATACATTCATCCGGCCGACCACGATGAAATGACGGCCGTGCTCACGGCCCACCAGCCCTACCATTCCCATTTCCTCCAAGGTAATCCCTGCTGCAGCTGCTGTGATCTAGACGCACGGCTGGCTGTCAGCATCAATGGCTCCACAGTTTACGCCTATCTTTGCAGAGTTTGAGATGGAGCGCTCCTTCTTCCTGAGGATGAAATGTGTCCTGGCTAAAAGGAACGCCGGTCTCACCTGTGGAGGCTACAAGGTACGGCAGACCCCTGCTCAGCCCATCATAGATCAGCTCTGGTCTCATCCCTTATAGAACCAGCAGCCTGGAGGCAGGGCCGGAGTTAGGGAATGTGGGGCCCTACGCAAAGACAGGCAAGGGGGCCCTCTGAATGGAGAAGACAGCACATAAAACAGCCCCATTCTCCAGATAGAGAAATGTTAATAGAATAGACATCCATTATCTGTTCTAGGTTGTGTCCCTCTCTTCTTGTCCCTTTTCTTCTTGTTTTCCTCTCTATGTTTTGTACTCAGCTGACTTTTCATGCTGTCTCTAAAGGAATGAAAGATTTTTTCCAAGCACTAAGCTCACTTAGCTGATTGCTCCTTCCTGTGTTTCCAAAAAGGCCAAAGTAAATAACCCAGTCCTTCTTTTCACTGTAGACAAGCCATGATCTGCTTCTCTGTTCTCCATTTTTCATTTGGATGAAATAATAGCTGCATGAATCATGACAGCAGACAAGATAGAGGAGAGCAGGAGGCGGGGTTACCAATCTACTCGCTCTGGAGAGCAGAGTTCGCTGCTTTTAGATGTTGTCTCCAAAGTCTCCAGCAGCAGAAAAAAGTCTCTAGATTTGGCGCTAGGAGCTTTAAAAAAAAATCTCCCTCATCTTAACTTCTCTCTCAGATAGTATATCTGTTTTTTTTAGCCATATTTACCTAATTTCTTCTCATCTAAGACCCACTAGTAAAAAGCGTTACCAAACTTTACGACTTCTAAACCACAAAATAGTTCCATCATTTCTGTTTCTATTCAGTGTTTCCATATTTTACTGTATTCAGATGTAAATCCCTTTATTGTCTCACAATAGAGAAATTCCCTCTCTGCATTTAACCCCTCCCCTTGGGGGGCAGTGGGCTGCCATGGTGCGGCGCCCAGGGAGCAGTGTGGGGTTAAGGGTCTTGCTCAGGGACCCAGAGTGGCAGTCTGTGGAGATCGAATCGGGTTCTTGCAACTTTCTCAGAGCAAAAGCTCACTGCCCGAAACACTGGGCCAACAATCGCCTTGGGATGTAAACAGATAATTAATTTGCGATTAATTATCAATTAATGTTGTATTATCATCCAGTTAAATGATAATGTTAGTTTGGAGGGAGCTTCTTTCAGTGCTGTATTGTTACCGCCATCCACTAGCAGGCGCCACTGCTCATTCTTAGGCAGAGCCTCACAAGTATTTGAAGGAGAAATAACGGTAGAGTGGTTGTCGCCCAATCCGTCCCGGAAGCACCATCTGTAACATCGCACCCAGATATACATCCGGGTCGACCTCCTTTTTATTTTTTAAAAAATATTCCGTTTTTTCCCTCCTCTAGTTAGCGTACTAAACTATAATGTGTTAAAGGTTGATAAAATAGTTCCTGAGAAATCTGTTCAGGAAATGGGACCTACGCTACTTCCTGGAGATAACTTTTTCGGCTTTGGATTTAAACGTAAATCTAGTCTTTTTGAGATGTATGTTTTCCTTTTGTGCGTAATCTAAAAGAAGAAACAACTAAAATGGAGACAAACATGGTTCAATCATATTTTGCTCTGAGTATGTCCGATGATGTCGTCAGAGAAGCTGTTTGACGGAGAAAATGTAAAAAGCATCAGATTTTCTCACAAAAAGTCGTAAAACATTTTTTTCTGAATTCTTTAGGGATTTTGCGATAGAAATAAGTCATTTTACATTATTTATGGCAACATGGATTCACATCTGGTTGCACAAATGAGCTGATGGTACCGATCATGCAGGGACAGTGGAGGTATGGGTAGAAACATGGCTGACTCCAAACGTCCGCTCTGACCCCTGACCCCTCCGTCACTATGTAGTGGACTTAATAGTGAAGTCAGTTAACTGAGCGTTAAACTCACCAGACAGATGAGCACTATTTTCCGTTGGTCACTGGACTCCAGCTTCCTACTCGCTGCCTGCGCCATCTTTGTTTTCTCTTACCCCAAAACAAATCCCATGATGCTTTGCAAAGAAGAGCTTTTGCAAAGGATTCTGGGATATATCTGCTCGTCTAGTGACCATAAATGATCACTACTTTCCAAGGTGCATTGTGGGGAATTGTGAGTCCACTACTTTCTGACATTCATATAAAATGGCGTGACCACGAGACAGAGCTCTAGGTTATGGAGGGGTTAGAGCGGACGTTCGGACGCAGCCCATGAATGGATCCAGAATCCGGTCCGAGTTCTAATCCAGAACCAGAACCGCCTGTTTAAAAGCTCTGCTAACAGAACAAAGTCTCTTTCCTGCGACGGCGTATTAGGGCCATACAAAAAAAAAATATAGAATTTAAATTTCTGAGTTTGAGGTGGCACATTTATGAGAATAAACACGCAAATTTACGAAATTAAAACATAAAAAATAGAGAAAAAATAGCAAATTAAGAAGAAAAAAAGGATGCAAATTTAGGAGACAAAAGTAACAAATTTTTAAGATCTTAACATGCACATTTGCAGAACAATGTGGGATTATAACACACATTAAAGAACGCTACATAAAGTACATGCAGCATTAATTGGGGCTTTAGTGATGGAATGAGACGGTAAAATTACCTCATGGAGGATTATAAAGTAAAAATTAATTATACAATAAATCTGTTTATAATCTCGTAAATTTACATCTTTTGTTTTTGTAAATTTGCCCATTTATTCTGTGCATCTTCTACTTTATTCCTTCTAAATTTGGATGTTTATATTCTCGTAAATTTGCATGATTATTCTAGTAAATATGCCACAACTAAAAAATTTAAAATCCAATTATTTTTTTTGTATTTTAATGGCCCTTATACGCCGTCGTACTTCCAGCTCTGATTGGTGGATCAGGCTAAAACAGAGAGCTAGCTCACAGTTAGCATCCACTTCACTGAAACAAAGGAAATAGTCTGACAGGATGTCAGAGCCACATACCCTATCTATTAATGATAGCTCTATGTCTGCTCATTGGAAATCAGTCATGCTTCACATATTTAAATTTTTTATTTTTCAGTAAACTAATAGCTTCCTCATTTGTTACGTCTTATAAATAATAGAATAGAATAGAAAATCTCTTTATTATGCCACAATGGGGAAATTCTGCTGTTTACAGCAGAAAAAAGATTATAGAAAAAATGGTCACACAAATGTGGACCTGAGAAAAATTGTATTGAAATAACTAAATATGTGACAGAATGAATAAAGTAACAAATATACTGTACTGTAAAGTGTTTTAACAATATAAAACTGATCACCTGGAGAATAAATAACCAATATGCAGCTATGGACATTTTTACAGTAATTTGAAAACTAGCAGCAACATCAGAGATGTGCAGAATGACAGCAGCAGGTTATTTAACTGACTAAGGTAGAAACTGAGCAGAATCAGCATGAATGGAAGAACTGATTGAGGTTGTTGGGAACAGTGGTGGTTCTAGAGTCTTCCAGCAGCTGGGAGGAAGGATCTGTGATAACGCTCCCTGGTGCATTTAAGGTGCAGCAGTCTGTCACTGAAGGAGCTGTCCAGTTCAGCACCAGCTGAACCAGCATGGGGGGGGATGTTCATTTAGTTAGGATCCGTCTGTTTCCCACCTCCTGCACTGAGTCCAGAGGGCATCCAATCACAGCTGGCCTTCCTGATCAGCTGATCCAGTTTGATTAAAAAGGTGTTATAATGTGTAAAAAAGATAAAAACTTATTTATTCAGTCAGTTTTTAATATGGCTGCTATCATATGTGCTTAAAATATAATGATGTACTTTTGTTTTTTTAAACCTATCATATTGTTTGAAAACATTTAGCCTTTATGTTAATGGGAGGAGCCTCTTAATACAAGAAAATGGACACTTTTCAAACTGCAGTCGATCGATATGATCAAGTTTGGATAAAACTCCATAACTTTCATCCCTGCTCATTACTTTAGTACAAAGTTCATACTTTAACCTAGTTCAGCTGTGTTATAAGGTCAGTTTACCTAAACCTGCTCCTCTATTACAGAAAGTAATAAAGGAGCAGAATTTGAGGACCCTATGATGTATTTTTTTAATTCTCAAAGTTAATGTTAAAGGCTGACGATGCAGCAGAACCTCTGCCCATTTAAATGGGCTAGAGTTTCCTCATCGTGGCTTTTGATCCATTTGCGAGGACGTCCTGTCCAACATGTCTCTGGTTATTGTCAAAGTCTCGCTCATTGCCAGAGTGGTGCTCCTCTTCACTTCCTCCGGTCTGACTGTGGTTGCCTCTTTGGGTCCAGGTGATCCACTGCAGCGGCTACCTGAAGGTCCGTCAGTACAGCCTGGACATGTCTCCGTTTGACGGCTGCTACCAGAACATCGGCCTGGTGGCCGTCGGCCACTCGCTGCCTCCCAGCGCCGTGACAGAGATCAAGCTGCACAGCAACATGTTCATGTTCAGAGCCAGCCTGGACATGAAGCTCATCTTCCTCGACTCTCGGTACGTTCTGAGTGTCCGAGCCACCTGACTGATATCTGTTGGAGTGTGATGGTGACAGCAGTGTGGCCACGCTGGGGGCCTTCATCCCTGTTGCTGGGTGTCTTCCTCAGGGTTGCAGAGCTAACAGGTTATGAGCCTCAGGATCTCATAGAGCAGACTCTCTACCATCACGTCCACAGCTGTGACTCCTTCCACCTGCGCTGCGCGCATCATTTGTGTAAGTAAGTTTGGATTTCACTTCTAGTACAAATGGGTTTTTTTTCCGTGGAGGTAAAATGCGTTGCAGCTTAGCAATAGTGCTGCAGGTAATTTTAAAATCTGCTACAGAAATAATCCGGATCTGTTGTTTCTTTCTGTTTATGTTGTGTCTGACTTCTCCAACATGTCCAGTCAGTTCAGTCTGTGTCTTTGATGGCCCTCATGGCTGACTCCCTCCTCTTGTCCCTGCAGTGCTGGTCAAAGGTCAGGTCACCACCAGGTACTACCGTTTCTTGGCCAAACAAGGTGGCTGGGTCTGGGTTCAGAGTTATGCGACTATCGTGCACAACAGCCGCTCGTCGCGACCGCACTGCATCGTCAGCGTCAACTATGTGCTCACGTAAGTCTGGGCTCCGGCTCCCGGAGCCAATCGTACTTCTGCTCGTTTATTTCCCCCCAATAGGACTTTAAATTATAGATTTAATGCATTTTATTTTTGAAAGTAAGAAGGTAAACCTTTAGATGTTATTGGCTTGAGTGTGAGGAGGCTGGACCATTTTACCAACAATCTAAATTGTGATTATTTTTAGTAGAAGTTGCAATTTTATTTTTTCTTTTGCATTAAATTAAGCTTGTAGATGTTGTACCCTAGGGTTTCAGTTTTTGGAAGCTTGCTTGCCCAGAGTCCATTGTTGCAGGACTTTAACCTTTGTATGAAAAGCTTACTTCTACCCACCTGCATGGATCTGCTGCTAGCTGGAAATCTTTCTACTGTGTGTGGACTAACCCACTTGGAGCGTTTTACCGCGACTTCAAGGCCTGGAGGGAGAAATTTAGTGTCTTACTGTTGTTAAATACAGTTCTGGTTCCTTTTACAGTTGCCTTTTGTATCTATGCTTCTTTTTCTATGTCTGCTTCTGTCTCCTTGAACCCCAGTGGGCCTCAGCAGATGGCCGCTCACACTGAGCCTGGTTCTGCTGGAGGTTTCTTCCTGTTCAAAGGGAGTTTTTCCTCTCCACTGTCGCTACAAGCATGCTTAGTGTGAGGGATTGCTGAAGAGTCAATGAGTCGATGCAATCAGCTGGTTTTCCTTAGATAGAAAACTTTGAATCAATCTGACTGGATGATCTGGATCTATAAAGTGACCTGAGATGACATGTAATGTAAATTGGCGCTATAGAAATAAACTGAATAGAATGGAATTAAAAATGACAGTACTCTACAGTTTACCGTGAAAAAGCCTTTTCCGGTCACATTAATGTGATTGTTTCTCTTTCTGAAGACTAACACTACCTGAAACAAAGAACCCGTCTGATTGGTCGCTGCTCCCGGCGTTCCCGGGCTGCAGACATTCCTGTCCTATCTCAGGCTGCTGCCTTTGTTAGGAAGTTTGCTGTGCATGCTCCTTTGCTGGCGTTCACTTCGTGTGGCAGCTTTGTTCTGCTGCCAGCTCCAGATGCAGAATGTAAATATGAGCGCAGAAGCTGCAGACAGAAGGGGGGTTTATCTGGCACTGTTTTCTACATCAGATTGTAAAATAGAGCAGTAACCTGGGCTGTCTGCATGCAGTCTGCTGTTTTATGTTCTGTTATTCTATTATTTCATGGCTCCCTGATGAAGAGCAGAGCACACAGATGAACGAAGCCCATAAAACCGTCCATTAAGCAGCATTGAGAGGCAGAGAAGAGCTTGGCACATCTGAATCCTCTATCAGATGCTAACAGCTTTGTGTTTATGGTTGTTTAATTGATACGTTATAGTTAATGAATATTTAGGATTGATCCCTGCTTCCTTCCCATCAAACATCAGAGGCTTCTGCACTGAAAACCTCCACTGCTCCATTTTATTCCTTTCCTCTCTTTGCATAAAACATAGAAGAGATGATAAAGCCTGGCAGGAGGCGGCGCTATCTGGGGCAGAGCTAATTTGCACAGTGGTCCAGGTGTGTACAGGGCTGGATAATGCAGGTGAAGGGGCCACCTCACCTGCATGTGAACTCCTACTGTGTGTTCAGCTCTGAGAGCTTCTCATCCTAGAGCCATGTTCTCAGATCTGCTGTGGCCTCCATGATCCATATCTGCAGAAACAGATCCAACGAAACGTTCTGTAGTCTTGAGTTCTGATCCAGAACAGCAGGGCATTCTGGGGGATGTAGGCAGAGGGAAGGATTTCCTTTCTCAGTCTATCATTAGAGCTAAGCTGAAAGGTTGATATCAGGATTCTTTTTTAAGCTGTATCACAAAATTCTACTTCCTGTTTAACATGTTGGATTAAATGTAGAAAGACAACAAACAGATAGACAGCAATCTTAAATTCCCCTCATTAATCCCTCTAGACTAACAGCTTTCAGTTTGTTCATAACCAGGTGAAATTAAACTTAACAATCAGTCCTTCAGAACAGATTAATAATCTCAGTATCGTGTTTGATTCAAACTGATTAGATTAGATCGGATTATTCTGATTCTCTGTTTTCATTAGCAGGAGTTTAGATCCGTTACAGCTACTTCAGAACCAAGCTGAACCAATCTGTTGAGATTTTCTCAATATTTTACATTTTTCTGGCTTTTTGTGCTTCTGGTATCACAGAGTTTTCTAACGATGCTGCCACCTGTGGCCAACACACTTTCTGAAAGTTACAGGTTCTTTTAATTACTCTGAAAATAATACAGAAATGTTCTGATATTAGAAAATATTATTGGTATTATTGACTACTGAGTATTTTCAAAAGTGAGTACTTCAAAACTCTAAGTTAAGTAGATGTTTGACTGAGTACCTTTTACTTGTAGTTGAGTAAAATTTTACAATATCAATAGTATTACTATTGAGAACTCCGCCCATCGCTGGCTGTGACTAATAGGAAGGAACCAGGAGCTGGATTCAGTGGGGTGGCCGATTGGGGTGGCCTGTGGGGTGGCCAGTAGGGTGGCCGGTGGGGTGGCCAGTAGGGTGGCCGGTGGGGTGGCCAGTAGGGTGGCCATTGGGGTGGCCGGTGGGGTGGCCATTGGGGTGGCCGATTGGGTGGCCATTGGGGTGGCCGGTGGGGTGGCCAGTGGGGTGGCCGGTGGGGTGGCCAGTGGGGTGGCCAGTAGGGTGGCCATTGGGGTGGCCGGTGGGGTGGCCATTGGGGTGGCCGGTAGGGTGGCCATTGGGGTGGCCGGTGGGGTGGCCGGTGGGGTGGCCGGTAGGGTGGCCGGTAGGGTGGCCAGTTGGGTGGCCAGTGGGGTAGCCAGTAGGGTGGCCGGTGGGGTGGCCGATTGGGTGGCCATTGGGGTGGCCGGTGGGGTGGCCGGTGGGGTGGCCAGTGGGGTGGCCGGTAGGGTGGCCGGTGGGGTGGCCGATTGGGTGGCCATTGGGGTGGCCGGTGGGGTGGCCGGTGGCGTGGCCGGTAGGGTGGCCGGTGGGGTGGCCGATTAGGTGGCAGATTGGGTGGCCATTGGGGTGGCCATTGGGGTGGCCAGTGGGGTGGCCGGTGGGGTGGCCGATTGGGTGGCCATTGGGGTGGCCGGTGGGGTGGCCGATTGGGTGGCCAGTGGGGTGGCCTGTGGGGGGGCCGGTAGGGTGGCCGATTGGGTGGCCATTGGGGTGGCCGGTAGGGTGGCCGATTGGGTGGCCATTGGGGTGGCCGGTGGGGTGGCCGATTGGGTGGCCATTGGGGTGGCCGGTGGGGTGGCCGATTGGGTGGCCATTGGGGTGTCCGGTGGGGCGGCCGGTAGGGTGGCCGATTGGGTGGCCATTGGGGTGGCCGGTAGGGTGGCCGATTGGGTGGCCATTGGGGTGGCCGGTGGGGTGGCCGATTGGGTGGCCATTGGGGTGGCCGGTGGGGTGGCCGATTGGGTGGCCATTGGGGTGTCCGGTGGGGCGGCCGGTAGGGTGGCCGATTGGGTGGCCATTGGGGTGGCCGGTAGGGTGGCCATTGGGGTGGCCGGTAGGGTGGCCGATTGGGTGGCCATTGGGGTGGCCGGTGGGGTGGCCGATTGGGTGGCCATTGGGGTGGCCGGTGGGGTGGCCGATTGGGTGGCCATTGGGGTGGCCAGTGGGGTGGCCGGTAGGGTGGGCGATTGGGTGGCCATTGGGGTGGCCGGTGGGGTGGCCGATTGGGTGGCCATTGGGGTGTCCGGTGGGGCGGCCGGTAGGGTGGCCGATTGGGTGGCCATTGGGGTGGCCGGTAGGGTGGCCGATTGGGTGGCCATTGGGGTTGCCGGTAGGGTGGCCGATTGGGTGGCCGGTGGGGTGGCCATTGGGGTGGCCGGTAGGGTGGCCGATTGGGTGGCCATTGGGGTGGCCGGTAGGGTGGCCGATTGGGTGGCCATTGGGGTGGCCGGTAGGGTGGCCGATTGGGTGGCCGATTGGGTGGCCGTTTGGGTGGCCGGTAGGGTGGCCGATTGGGTGGCCGGTGGGGTGGCCGATTGGGTGGCCGATTGGGTGGCCATTTGGGTGGCCGGTAGGGTGGCCAATTGGGTGGCCATTGGGGTGGCCGGTGGGGTGGCCGATTGGGTGGCCAGTGGGGTGGCCGGTAGGGTGGCTGATTGGGTGGCCAGTGGGGTGGCCGGTGGGGTGGCCGATTGGGTGGCCAGTAGGGTGGCCGGTGGGGTGGCTAGGGCAATGCACAGGGTGGCCATGGCCACCCCACTGGCCACCCCCTATTGGTCCCACTGGTGGCCGGTAGGGTGGCCATTGGGGTGGCTGGTGGGGTGGCCGATTGGGTGGCCGGTAGGGTGGCCATTGGGGTGGCCAGTGGGGTGGCCAGTAGGGTGGCCGATTGGGTGGCCATTGGGGTGGCCGGTGGGGCGGCCGGTAGGGTGGCCGATTGGGTGGCCATTGGGGTGGCCGGTAGGGTGGCCGATTGGGTGGCCATTGGGGTGGCCGGTAGGGTGGCCGATTGGGTGGCCGGTGGGGTGGCCGATTGGGTGGCCGTTTGGGTGGCCGGTAGGGTGGCCGATTGGGTGGCCGGTGGGGTGGCCGATTGGGTGGCCGATTGGGTGGCCATTTGGGTGGCCGGTAGGGTGGCCAATTGGGTGGCCATTGGGGTGGCCGGTGGGGTGGCCGATTGGGTGGCCAGTGGGGTGGCCGGTAGGGTGGCTGATTGGGTGGCCAGTGGGGTGGCCGGTGGGGTGGCCGATTGGGTGGCCAGTAGGGTGGCCGGTGGGGTGGCTAGGGCAATGCACAGGGTGGCCATGGCCACCCCACTGGCCACCCCCTATTGGTCCCACTGGTGGCCGGTAGGGTGGCCATTGGGGTGGCTGGTGGGGTGGCCGATTGGGTGGCCGGTAGGGTGGCCATTGGGGTGGCCAGTGGGGTGGCCAGTAGGGTGGCCGATTGGGTGGCCATTGGGGTGGCCGGTGGGGTGGCCAGTAGGGTGGCCAGTGGGGTGGCTAGGGCAATGCACAGGGTGGCCATGGCCACCCCAGTGGCCACCCCCTGTTGGCCCCACTGAGAACCTGAACATCCAGAGACGAGGGCATGGCTACATGACAGAGTTATCTGATGTTGCACCAAACAGGGAGATTAATACGAATGATTGAGCATAAATCAGAGTGTTTGATCAGCTTTAATGAATCAATGAACTGAAACGGACTAAGAACCAATCAGAGAGTTCATCCTGTCATTCTGGGAACCTGCTTTGTTTTTCTGTGAACTCCAGGAATACTGCAAGTCGTTGCTGAGACATTTTCTCCTTTTGTTGATAATAACCTTAACAACCAGAAACATTTGCAGAATAAAACCATAAATACAGTGGAGCTAAAGCACAGAACGGATTTGTGCGCTCTGCTGAATTAAGCATGTGGTAAATACCAGCGCTCTTCAAACCGAGGGGAAGATAATCTCTGAATCGCTTCGGCTTGTAAATGAGTGTTTGTGTGCAGAGACACTGAGACTAAGATGCAGCTTGGATCACTATTTGTCTCTAGTAAACCTCCAGGTTTTTTCTGTTGCCTCAAACCCGATTCATCTTGGACGGTGAAAACACTCAGGCAAGAAATCAATTCCCATTTCCCAGCAGCGAGATGCCCAAACATTTTCCTGTGGGCCTGGTTTAGCCAGACACAGCCTTTAATCTCCGCGTGTGTTTGACAGGACAGCTTTTCCTCTGTGGAGTGTTTGTTAAGGGCCTTCCTGCAATCCTTCTGGTAAAACAAGCTTCCAAACAGCCGTTACCGCCTTCTTAACACACCCCAGCTCCTCCCGCCAGCCGTGCTCATCCTCACACTCAGACACAGCCCTCCACATGCTGCTCCGCTAAGCTCCCTGATTAAGCTCTCATTTCCAAACAGATGGTGGTGATTTTCTTCACCTTAAAAGAAAAATAAACACTAAGGTGTCTGAACTGTTTGCGGCCCCTAACGAAGAGCCGACGGCGCTGGGTTCCATCTTCATCTCGCTGATCGGATCATTTCTGCTTCTTTTTCAGGGAAACTGAATGTAAAGGTTTGCAGCTTTCTCTGGATCAGGCTACCCCCAAGGCCGCCTTCCCCTTCAGCAGCAATAGCGCCGCCAGCAGCCATTCTGAGAACTGCAAAGCCCTGAAGAGCAGAGCGATGCGGCTCAAGACCAAATCCAGGCCTTCGCCGTACACACAGGTGAGGATTCCAGCAGCGCGCTCCAGATTCTTGCAGGCTGTGGTGCAGAGAAGTGAGCAGAAGCTAAAGGGGACGTAGCTAACGAGCCGTTTCAGAGTGCAAGCACTACGGTATAAAAACTGGGACTTAATAAACCCAAGAATACTTTGCTCTGTTCAGCAGCTTAATCTCCACCATCCTAAAACCACTTTCCTCTTTTTTCAGCACAGTGGGGATTTTTTCTAGGCCATAAAGTAAGGTGACCAAATTTCTGCGATCTAATCTGGGGGCATTTTCAGCTCGTAGATGAAAATAATTACATATCATGAACATTAAACAGGAAACAGGGACAGTGATGCTTTCATACGTTTTATACATATTTATCATTATTTAAGCAACAAAAATCAAGCTAAAAAAAACAGCAAAAAAAAAACGTATAACTCTACTTAGAATCTCTAACTCTTTGTAGATATAAACCAAAGGTCACCAATTAGTTCTAAAAACATCTTTAGATGAACCCTTGTTAATCCCTGGAGAACCACTGAACCAGATTAGCTCCTTATAAGGAGCTTTCAATCATTCTGGTTAAGGAGTTCAATTTCCGGCCCGGGAATTGAACCCGGAACCTTGTTGCTGCAAGGCAGCAGTATTGCCCACTGCCCCACCGTGCAGCCAGAAAATATATAAACATGTTTCGAAATATTTTGATTTTTTTTATTACATTTTTATTAGTTTTTTTTTTTCTTTATGCCTTAATCAGTGTCATTAGATGAGTGGTTCGGCACTCTAGCGCCCCCTATTGTCCAGCAGCCACTGACTGAGATGTACTAACCTCTCATTTCTCTGCATTTGGGCCCTAAGGATTCATTGAGTTATTCAAGAACTGCAATTCCTGAAATTCCTCATCCAGCCAGTTATTCGCCTCCAGGCTTCATTTTGTATCACTCACTGGGCTCTGGATGGGCGGCTGATGCTAACGTTAGCCTAGCCTACAGAGGAGGCTTCTATTAATGTTAAAGCAACCAGAAAGACCAAGCTTTTAATATAAAGTGATGCTAGAATTTTATTTTCCTATTCAATAAAATAACTCCATTATTAGCATCTTTCCATGTACTAATTTTACTCATGAAATAAGCTGATCTAATAAAGCAAACAATCTACAGAATCAAATTCTCGATTAGTATTAAGAATGATTAATAGAATAATGGATTAGTAAAATCATTTTGTTACAGCCCTACTCCATCTAACAAGGATTGATCTGTGCTGTGCCCTTCAATGCATTTATATTCTCTAATATTTAATCAGATAACCTTGGGACTGTCCTGTGTTGTTCTGTGAACACAGTGAGTGTTTAACAGGTGAGAGGAGGATTAAAGCTCAGATCTGGTTACAGTTAAATCTGTTAATAACCATCATCAAGAAAATGATGAATGGATATTACAGTTAGGAATAGTTTTTCAATTAATAAAGCCCAAATTACCTTCAACCCAATGGGAAATACAAAATAAAAAAGTAGATATACAGGGGGGGCTGTTTGTAAAGTTAAACAGTCAAACATTAGGAGCTATATTTATGGTTATTTAGCATGTTTTAAGACAAAAATAAGGGGACTTATTTATTCTCATTGTCATTAATTCATTTATAAAATTTGAAGTTCAAAACTAGATATTTAGATTATCAGTTAAGAAAATGGTCAGTGAGCTAAATATTTATATAAGATTACACAAGTTGAAGTGTTTAATACCAGAGAAGGAAAGAACAACCAAACCTTTCTTAACGAAACCAAACCAAATACCTTCATATGCGTTTTAAAACATGGATCCCTTTAAGTGAACAGCCTGCAGGGTGAGACGGGGAAATTCTGGTCTAGGCTCTGGTTCAAGCCCCACTCCCACAGACTGCCGCTCAAGACCCCACACTGCTCCCCAGGTTCCGCACAATGGCAACCCACTGCTCCCCAAGGGGAGGGGTTAAATGCAGAGGTAGATTTCCCAATGTGAGATCAATAAAGTGAGTTCAATTATCAATTAGCAGAGGTGGAAGGCTGGTGTTCAGTCAGAGCAGCATACCCAGTCAGGGCAGCATATCCATAGCCAATACCTTTTTATTCCTTTAGTTTAGTACAAAAAATAAACTTTAAACTACTTCAACGGGCATGTTTAGTCATGAAAAAAAAAAAAGCAATTTAATTGCTTACTTTTTGGTGTTTTTTGAAGAATATAGTGATCTGATCTTAAATATATATATGTATATATATATATATATATTTTTTTTTTTGTACATGACTAAAGGGATACACGCCTGTTGAGGTAGTTTAAAGTCTAGTTTTTGTAAAAAACCAAAGGATAAACACACATCTGACTTGGTGCGTATGTGTATTGACTATGGGTATGCTGGTCTGACGGGGTATGCTCATCTGACAGAACACCAGCGGCTGGAAAGAAACTATTTCACTTAAAGAAAGAAAGAAGACCAAGAAAAAATAAAGTCCAAGAGAAAAACTCACGAGAAAGAAAAGGAAACAGATTTCTTGGAATAACAGGAGGCCCTGATGGAGAGATGATGAACTGGGAGACATTTGGAGCTGGAGAGATGATTACTGGGTAGAGAGCAGGTAGCTGATTAATACCAGCTGTGAAGGAAACTGGACTTACACTGATGAGAAACAACAGACGGAGGCAAGGAAACAAAAACCAGAAAAGAACAAAAGTAACCACAACCCATCTTAGGAAAATTAAATTCGTATCAAATAAGTTAATAAAGAAACACATTAAAAGACGCAACTGGAAAACATGAGAGAAATAGAACACAAAACTAAAGAAAATACGGTTTACTAGAACTATGATCTACAGAGTAAATTAAACGACAGACTTTAGATAATCAGCAGAATTAGACAACAAAAGGTTGAGGAAACTCTGGGATGTAGTAAACCGGTCCTGAAGGTCTGGAATGGTGAATGGTCTGAACTCATAGAGAGCTTTTTCCTCCGCTGTAGCCGCTGTTGTCCTGCAGCTTTGGATTCATCTCTGATGCTTCAACCTCCCAAGCTAAAATTGGTTGAAAAGACATGATTTGAAATGACGTCTACATTTGGTTGAAAAGTGAATTTTCAGATCATTGAAAACTGAGTTTGCAAATTCTTTTCAACATCTATTATTGGACTAAAGTGGGACAAAGTCGGAACCAAACAGCCCAATTTTCAACAACTATATCTGGACTAAATCCAGACTATGACGAACCGACCAGATGTGGCCTAAAAACCAACGTCTGAATGTTTGGCGGAATGAGCTCCTCAGTATGCAGCCCCCCCTCCTCCAGAGTCCTGCTAATGACCTGCTCTTTGGATTCAGGCTGTTTAAGCAGAGACACGTCTAAAAGCTCCAGGATCTTCAGGACTGGCTTAGAGTCACTATAACACTGTCCCAATAAGTTTATCACACTTCTTTATGTTCAGAATATCCCAACATTTTTACCCAAAGTCATTTAGCTAGAACTAGATGGAATGTTTCTCCAAAAAACCCAAACACTCTTCCTTGTTGGACGTTTCCTTTATGTGAAAGCGCTAATTAAATCAACTCTACCAAGAAGAGCTCTGGCCCCCAGCAGCTGTTACACTGAGTCCTAGTTAATACCTGGGAACTGTATGCCTTATGCTGTCGAACATCTCGTTATTAAATGTGTTTGATAAAAAAAAAGGAGACTCTTTTTCCTTCAAAAAGATCCTATTTAATGTCTTTTTCTTTCTCAGATCATAATTATCTATAGAAACATTTAACTTCATCTTTATTTGAATTAGTCCCAGCAGGGTGCAGATGTCACCTTCCTTTACCCACTGCCGGGTACACTGTACAAGTTTTTTCCTTTTCGGTCAGATTCTCCAGTGCAAGAATTTTTGTGGATTGGGTTGAGTTTCATCCTCATCCTGCGTCCTGTAATATACGGGGGGTAACGAGGGGCAATCAGCCTCTCACAACCTTCCAATCAGGAATCATGAGGCTGGGAGAAAATCAAACATCTTTGAAATTCCGTCGGCCGTCTGAGTTGTTGGTGGGTAAATCCTGTTGTTGAAGCAGAGCTACCAGCATCTATTACCCAATCCCAAACCTGCCCCGAAAAACTAACCCTTAGCACTAACCGTCTATTTCCCATGAAGGGTCCAACACATTAAGTGCCGTCCCAAACCATGTAGTGGGTACCAGCGAGTGAACCGTTCAGCCCTTAAATAGCGAGTCTCTATCAGTGCAGGATCCCTGGAATTTGGCAGCAGGTGTAACGGCGGCCTGATGCTAGAGGAAGAACATTCTTCCAAATGGAAGTTCCGCTGGTTTGCTGCATCTTCATCACACTGACAGAAAATAACAAGTTACGAATATGAAAAAACGTATTTAATTCCCAAATGGAAGGTCCTCTTTGAAAAATAGTTTTATTTGACCGTATACATTTGTTTTTAGACAGGGGCAATTGTTAAATTTTATGTCCACTAAGCTACAGCAACACACAGGGAGTCACTGTGTTGCCATAGCAATGACTGCTTTCCTTTTCTGTTGGAGGGAAAAGGCCATCCCGTTCTCGTTTACACTCCCCCACCTTCAATCAAGGTACCTTCCACAGCAGCGAGTGACACTTCATTGGGAGTGAGACTTGATAGTCAAGTACTAGTGCTTAGGAGGCTGTTTGGGATTCAGCATTTGAGCCGATTTACCAGAACCTCGAGCACTGAGCATGTGCAAACAAGGGAGTTCTTCTTCTTGTTCCAGATTGCAGAGTCAGACCAGCCATCTCTCGGCGCTGAAGCCAATGTGTGGTTTTTGGACGTAAAGTGTGAGCAGGTAGATCACGTCAGAGTGTTAGAGTGGAACAACAAGCATTGTGAGCTGTGAACTTTGGAACTCTGCGATTTCACTTGAAAGTATCGTACAGGGTATGCCCGACTGACACTCCAGGGAGTTCTTTTGCTAACTTGATCAGTTCCAGGCTATACTGTAGAGGCAGGGTTGGGCTGAAAATCCTGGTGTTTAGTTTTAATACTGATTCACAGTGGTGAATGGCCGCTTGTTGAACTTCTTTCACTGTTCACCTCCAAAATTTTACTAATGCTAACATTCAAATGCAAGCATAAGCCCAACCAGCTTTTGTTTAGTGTCTTAATGTAGCATCCTAAACGTTCGCCTTCTTCTTCCCCACTGCTGCAGTATCCCAGCTTCCAAGCAGAGCGGTCAGAGTCAGACATGGAAAGTCCGTGGGGCAGCAGTCCCCTCACAGACTCGGCTTCCCCTCAGCTGGAACGCAGCGAAGGCTTGGACGCCTCGTGCATCTCCAGGAACTTTTCTGATCCACGCCACCTCTGCCACAGCTTGTCTGAAGAGCAGCATCACAGCGTCAGAGATTTCCACACACACGGTCAGGGGCAGAGCTGTGAGAGGGCTCGATGTGATGCAGGCAGATACTTTGTCGGCGCTCCTCCAGCCTGCAGGGACACGTGGTTCGCCTCGGCCCGTCCCTTCGTCCCGCTGGCTAAGGGTTGCTTCGACGGCCACGATGGATACAGCGGCAGCATTGGGCGCATCCCAACAGTCCTGAGTGAGCAAGGTGAGGACTGACCTCGCAGCCTGTGTCCTGGCTGCACAAATGTAACTTGGAGGTGGATTCTTGAAGAAGCTGCTTCCAGTGATATGGATTCAGTTTCTCTCTTTAATGGTCCTGTTGTTGCTCCCTCTGTAGGCGCAGCCCACTGGGAGGAAGACAGCATTGTCAGCTCCCCAGATGGTGGCTCGGCCAGTGACTCAGGGGACCGCTATCGGGAAGATCGCTACTCCTGCAGCCCTGAGGAACCCAGTAAGATCGAGTCTCTGATCAGGGCCACGCAGCAGATGATCAAGGAGGAGGAGAGTCGAACACAGCTGGCAAAGGGCTTTGAAGACACACCACCAGGGCTTGCCAGCGGACTGCAAAGGGCGGCTGCTTCATGCTTCACTGCAGAGTATTCTCAAGGGCCCCCACAGACTATGGTGTACAGGAGCTTTAATCAAGTGATCAGCCCTAATCCTAGCCCCACCCCTCTGTCCAGACTTAGCAGCCCTGGTGCCGAGCGTTTGCACAAGCCCAAAGACTACCTCCAGACCAACATGACTCCCCTTTCCTTGCAGTTGCACCACCCTTTGGGTCGGTTAGGACCATGCTCAGCCTCCCCCACTCAAGCCCCCGCACTCTACCCCTCCCACAGCCATCCACGTTCCTATGTAGACAAACATCCTGCGTATTCCCTGACGGGCTACACCCTGGAGCACCTGTACGACCCTGAGAACCTGCGAGGCTGTTGCTCCTCTGTTAACACTGAACCCACCCACTACGACCACTTCCTCGCACCAGGAGAACAAAACCCTGGACATAAAGGCCCCTCGGTCATTATCAGCAACAGCAGCTAACGCTCCATAACCCCCGCCCGGGGGGGGCGGAGCCACAAAGCCACCTGAGCTAGCTGGCTCTGTGGCCGAAGGGAGACTTCTTTTAGTCTGTAAGGAAGCAACAAACCAGGCATCCATTATAATTTTTGTTTCTGTGGGAATGTGAAAAAACACCAGTGCCTGAAATCTGAGCAGATCATTCAACATCCTTACAGCTTACCTCCGTAATTTCTGCTGAACGACAGGATCTGATCCCAACGCTGACCTAGAGAGACCAGACAGGAGTCGCTCTCCTCATTCAGAGTCGTCCTCTCATCCTCACGTCTTCCTGTAATCCGCTGGTTTCCAACGCTGCTCCTCATGGACCCTGTCCTGCAGGTTTTAGCTGTCTGCTCGATGCATCACACCAGAAAACATCCGATCATAAACAGGCTTCTGCAGAGGAGGAGCCCTTTTATAATCAGGAGCGCTGGAACAGAGACTCACCTAAAACATGCAGGGCTGGGAACCGCTGCTAATCACTGAGGCGACAGCCAGCACCGTTTCAGTCTAAAGAAAAGAGCTTTTTCACTGACACCATTTGATTAAAAGCTCAAACCCAGAAACCAGGCCTGTTCTGGTACTGAAGCAACCAATAATCTGTTAGATGGAGCTTTCACTCCTGTTTTGAATGTGCATCAGTAAGATGCAGGTAAAGGGAAATGCTAATTAGAAGCTTGTTATGTTTTATATAGGAAATGAAGGAGTGGATCGCGGCTTCACCTGAAACACACCAGAGAAGGAACAGTCTGTGATGTTAAACATGTGAGAATCCTGTCCTAAAAGCATTTTACTATGCAGTCAAAGGAATCATATTAAGATCTTCTTCATCCTCTTTGAAAGGCTGGATGAAGAAGGTAAAGAGTCACCGCCATCCATATAAAAGTCCCTGCATTTGTTAATCAAATGGCTGAATTCCTGAGCCTAGACCATTTTAACGAGTCTTTTATTTGAAAAAGAGCTAATAGGAGACATGCAGAAGCGTCAACAAGCCAGGAATCGAACCCACGACAGCGACCGTCTCATACAATAGTGATGCTTTTAACCCGTGCCACCGCCGCTCCGCAATAATCCGGTGTCCTCATGTAACTTTATTTTAGGTCAGAGAAATTATTATTTAGATTTTTATTAAGAAATTAATTTTCCTGTAATTAGTTTCCTGAGCTTGACCAATCTGCTTCAACCTGCACTGAATCATGGGACATAATACGATACTGTGTGCCGGATCCATCCTTCTAATCAGCTGAAGCAATGAGGCCTGTGAGGGAGTCTAATGCTACGTTCAGACCGCACGCTGCAGAGGCAGCAGAAGCAGCTGGTTTACATGCAGAGGCAATGGTTGAATCAAGGAGCAACAAAAGGTCCCATAGAGCGTTTTGAGCAGCTTCTGAGCAGCTGATGTATGTGATGCACTTCAGAAGCAGCAGCTGCTGGAGTTGGAAAATGTAACTTTAGCTGCTTGACGCATCACATCAACCAATGAGAGAAGCTGATCTGGGAGTCAGAGTCAGACGCAGCACTGCTGATGCAGAGCGCTATGATCACTCCTCTGAAACAGTTTATTAACGCCTAAATTAACTTCAAATGTCAAAACCTGCCGGCAGAATATGTTGGCTTTTATTATCCTGCTGCCTGCAGTTTGTAGCACAGACCTGAAAAACGCTAACATCTACTTCCAGCCGCCACCAACAGGAGGGGAAAACCCTGGAGAGGCGAGCGGGCCTGAGGCAGCTGCTGCTGGGGATTCCCAGTGACAGCGCAGCGCCGGTATGTGGGGGTCTGAGCGGCTCCCACAGAGAAATAATCTTTGAAGGCAGGATGGTAATCTGGATGAACTGACTGCACAGACCATGTTTTCAGGAGGACTTTCTCACTTCAACATAGATTCTAACTACTTTTTACCCGCTGATCACAGCTAATATAGCTGCCATTGTTCCAGGCAGAGAAAGGATAGAGTAGCTCCGCCCACCGCGCATCAGACCCACTTTACCACCGCGCAGCTTCAGCCGCGCATCAGAACTAAACCTGTACAAGCATCAAAAATGAAGCAGCACGCGCGTTTTTGCTGCTCCTGCTGCGTGCGATCTGAACGTAGCATTAGGAGGATTGGAGGATTGTGGCAGCATTCTGCACAGCACTGTGACGTAACCCCCCCCCCCCCAAACACCAGACGTAATTCAGATGGTTTTTAGGCTAAATCGGCTCGGTCCGTCGTAGTCTGGTTTTATGTTTGCTTGTGATTTTGAGAAATGATTTCGTCCCACTTTAGTCGATAGAATAGATTATGAAACTTACGGCTTTTCACTTTTCAACCAAATGTAGACGTAAATCATGTTGTCCTTATAATGACTTTTCAACCAATTTTTTGCTCGGTGGGATGCGTATAAAAACATGAGCCTTGAACTGGGACACACCCAGTGGTTACCAGTCCCCTCCAGGAAGCACCAACCTTAACAGCCACTTCTCCAACCCTTAGAGCGCAATCGTTTCTGCTGAAATTTTAATTAGCTCACTTAGCAGTAATAAGATGCTGCTTTCAAACCGGACAGCGTGTCAAAAAAGACGCAGAGCGCCCAACCAGCATCAAGATGCAGAGTCCCAGAAGAGTGAAACGTACCTTAGGGTAGGACCCCTTGATGTGTCCACCGTAGACTTTGAATGAAAATCAGGCCCGCTGACGCTCAAACCACCTTCAGTTTCTGCACATAAGCTTAGAAAATGTGTTTCCAGGTTGCAAGAGGTCTCAGCCTTCCTGGAGGAGAGCTTAATAGCTCAATCACCAGGAGTGAGGAGGCTCTCACATGGGAGAGACAGACCCACCAGAAAATATTTCACAATAAATGAATACTTCATGGTCATAGGCGGCTCTAGACATGAGCCAAGAGGGGCCAGTGCTTTGGCCCCTGCACTGTAAACATAATGCAATATGATGATTTACTGGCACAGAAACAGTAGCTGATTAGTTCTGTGCGACGGTCTGTTTGCACCTGAAGCCAAAACACGCAGCGCCACAGCCAGTCTTTGGGGAACACTGGTGGGTAACTGTGTAGACGGTGAACAAGCTCATCATACCGACACACGGACACCCACAATCCTAGCTAGTTCCTGATTGGCCCTCTTGCGTTGAGGCGTGGAGTAATATATCAATATTGGGCATAAATCAAAAATATCTGCTTTATATCTGCAACAAGCTAACTGCAGCACAATGCGAGAGGACACACAGCCTTTGATGCTAAACTTTACAGATTAAAATCTGTAAAATTCTGTTGGTTCAACTGATTCAGATGTTAGAAAACTTTAATAATAAAGAAGAAACTGAGGGTGATTTGTTTGGAGCGTCGCTGTCCGTCTACCCGACTCGTCCACAGCATCCACCTGTTAGAGCGGACTGAGTTTCCAACATTTCATACTGGAATCAATGCTTTCAGTTAAAGTTATCTCCTCTGATTTGATCGTTGTTGCCGAGGAAACGCTTTACTGCACAGGTTAATCCTGGAAACTACAGGGTGTCCGTTTTAACCTCACACACTAATATGCAAAAGCCATTCTTGTCACTTTCTCACTCATTGTTTGAAAAAAGAGATAAGAAACAGGATAGATGCACTCATGACCTTCATATGACATAACAGTGATGTCCGGACGGCGGCTGGAGGCAGATTGGGTCTGTGTCCATATGCAACTCGTTGGGATGTCAGGCCAGGCAGCTGGAACGACCCGTTCAGCGGTGAAGCAGCTGCTGATGAAAGCGATGTTGGCATATTTTTTACTAAACAATTCAAGTGTCAATATTTCCTTTTTTATGTCCTTCTCAGCTTCTAAATGAACCTATATTTATACAAGTTTGGACTTTTTTTAAATTTGATTTGCCAAAGCCTGAAACGTGTGTCATTTCTTAATGTTATTTATAATATTACTGTAAATATGCTCAGAAAAGAAATTTCATGTGTAATCACATGTGCAAAAAGTGTATTTATTGAATAAATGTCTTCATGTGATTTTTGAGAAATGAGTTTGGAGAAACCTCCAGTCAGCTCCAGTCTAACAGCTTGTTTAATGAGTGTGTTTGACATATTCTACAAGATCACTAAATAAACCCTTTTTGCAGGGATGTCTCAGTTTCTTCTTCTATCTGTTGCTTTTCCTGGTTTATTATCCAGCAGCTCAATTCCTCAAATCCTTAATGATTGTAAAGAAAAAAGGCAGAATTTTGTCAAGCAGAGATCTCAGAATCCAGTCCTGAATGTCCGAGTCCTGCAGCTGTTGGATGAGTTTCTGCTTTAAAGGAAAAGTCGCTCATATTCAGAATTCAAACTTCTGAAAGTTCTTTAAATCTGAAATGATTCCATCCTGTTCAATAAATGATCAGTGTTTTTAATTCAGAGTAATTTTCATGTGAATGTGCTTTACTGGAGGCATCCATGTTTGTCAAAGAACACTACTGCCACCTACTGGTTAGTGACATTGTCACGGTGCGGTATCGGCTGTTGATCAAGTCCCAGTGCTGTATCTGGTGTTTGTCACAACGCGCTATTATCCAAGTCATCTTGAAAACATTCTTCTTCCAAATGTTGGCTACATATTACGGGTTTTTTCTCTGGCCAGAAGTTCGATGGCAAATCCTCCCTCTTCAAGTTGGCGATCCAACGACCAACCCGTCCGTGGAGGATCAGGAATCAGAAAGGTGGAATAACTCTTTTTTTCACTTTTACCCGATGTATTCCAGCATCCAGCTGCCATGCACGTGGGCATTGTCAGTTTCACTATAGCTCTGGTGAATTTCAATGGTGAAGTCCTCTGGAAATCTTCAATAATTGTTGTTGATTGCAGATGTGTCTAGTAGTTCCCATTGATTTAGCTTGGAAAGCGGGGAGAATGGCGCTAGGCTTACCGCACCGTGACATCACTGCTGGAAGATGGCAGGAGGGAGGGGCTACTATATTTGGGCAAAAATGGCCGCTCCCAGACTCAGTGATCATGACGAAAATGTATCTTTAAAACATTTTTAACGTTAAATTCATTAAATCACTGCAAACATATTAGTTTTAGGTATAAATAATGATCCATTAATTTTTTCTTGCTGACCAAACATTTCCTTTAACAAACCTGATTTAAATAATCAGGTCCTCTGCAGGACTTCAAATTCAAAGACTGTCTTCAGGACGGCAATGCCTTTTATTATCAACTCTGTTTAACAGTCAGTCAAAGCAGGGATAAGAATCCCTCTAGATCTAGGCCGTCCCCAACCTACAGTCACATTTTTCTTGCTGCTCTTTATCTTCCAACTAGCATGCCTAGTGCTAGCACTTTATCCCTGATAACACATCTGCCTTCCAATGCATCACTTCACTGCCCCCCACTTATACATTTCATACTTTTTACATTCTTATCTCTCAGCGAAAACAATAGAAAGTTGGACAAAAGTTAACTTCTCAAGGAGTCTCTAGCTGGACTACATTTTAAACATTTTTATGTTATTTTAATCACAGCGGCGAGAAGTGAAACGTCTACATTAGCACAAGACGGCTCCCTTCTCTACACAGGACTTCGGCAAGCCTTTCCACGGCTGTCATGGAAATGAAAGTCAACAGTGAAATTCAATGTTGAGGTAATTGCTGGTCATAGTAATTATATGCACTGGCTGGTGTCCCAAAGCACTGAGATAACCCCACCTGTGGTTTTAAACAGCAACACGTCGGATTACAACCAACCAATGCAACCAAGAAACAAGGTGCTGATTCTAATCACAATAACCAGACTGCTAGTGCTTGCTGGAAAACTCTTGGAGAAAAACAAAAGAACAAACAGTTCAGATCTGAAAAGGTGCAGAACAGGAAGAACGCCACATCTAGAGGATAAAACCTGGACAAAACTTCAGAGACAGACGTCTTCTACTCAGAGTAACAACAGGTGCAAAAAGATGTATGTTCCTAAACCAAAGGATAAGGAAGGAGCCACTGACATTACTGAGAATACTTGAATTCCACCAAAATCAGGTTGATTAGCTGCCATTCTCGATGCTGACCCTCAGGAAAACAGTCTGTTTATAAGAATATTTATCTATACCCTAAACAGCCTCATAACTAACCAGCTGCTAAACTAAGAACATTAATAGTAACTGATGATCCTTTAAGTAAGATTATACGCTTCTGTAAGAGAAAAAAGATGCGTGTAGTGTCTGAAAGAGGATAACACAGATGACAGAATAACATCCAGCAGACTGAATGAATGGACCAAATGAGTCTGCTCTCTAAGATCAGTTGGCTTTATTGATAACTTTACTAACATCTAGGAAAGGAGAAATGTCTTCATGAGCAATGAATTTCACCTGAGTTGATTATGTGTAAAGGATTTGCCTTCCGAAATATAATATTCCCAATACAAATTACATGATGTGATAAAAAACTGCTAGTGTCTCCCTGATGATAAATGTCAGCCTGCTGAGGTCTTGGAACAGAAACAACAGAATGACCAAAAGATTAAGACGCATGAAATGGT